CAGTGGGTGCCTGCCTCGCTGTACCCCAGACCACAGCATCCCCGTGTTGATAGCACTCGTGTGCATCAACCAAATGCCACCAGACCTAAACAATCACAGTTACAAGTACAATTACTCCTCACTACTCCTTCTCCTCCCCAAAAGGCTGTCAGATATGACAACATTCTGGGAACCAGCCTAGTGCCAACAATGCGTGTCCTACATCGAGATGTCCTAGTTACTCCTCAGCAGTTGGCCATGCTATTTGTGGCACAATGGGTCAGATGGTCACCAAGGAAAAAACTGAGAGCTAAAAAGTAACCCTGTATTTCCCTCTGCCAGGAGAGCTCAGCAAGACTTTCACTTTGTTTTATTTTTCTGTTAGGTTTGGAGCCAAAAAGAGCTCTAGTAATGGAATCTTTACATTTTCACAATGAGAAGCAAACAATCGGTGACAATCACAATTCACCAATCCTTGGAAAAAGTCACAGAAAAACAGAAAAAGAGCCAACGACTGGAATTCCAACCAATACGCACTAAAAAAAAAAGTCCTTTTATTGTATATTAGTGAACACTGTCAACCTACATTTCCTGTTTCTGACTTAAATTTTTTTTTTAAACTGTAAAGCTCAAGTCACATATGCCCTGGACTCGATAAAATATCCCAGGATTCTTAACCCTCTTAATTTTCCTGTTCATACCAAAGTAGCATGCCTCTTTCCCGCTGAAGCATAGCTCTTCTGTCATTAAGTCTCTAAAAATAATTTATTGCTTTAAAAGTAAGAATAGGAATGTGGTTAGCAATTTACCGATGAGTGCAGATTGAAAGATAAACGTAAATCCAGAACAGCAAGTAGAATAACATCCCGAAGAGGTTTGCCTTGGCATACGCCTATTGCTATATAGCCTGGGCCCTGCTGCTAAAATGATAAGATTTCACAAACACAGGTGTAGGAAAATAGTATTAACGATGATAATATACCCGTGTTGAAGGTGGTAATAAAACTGAAATGCAAACTAGTAAAAGAAGTTAGCGTGAACAATGATTAAAATAAAATTTTAAAAAAGGAGTTAGCATGATTTTAAACAACCTAATTCCTAAATAAATAAAGCATTTCCTATTTCAGATATATTATTTTTACCTACGAAGTTAATCTGAAACCAGGCCTTGTGTTTCAGAGTTAATTCACTAACAATGCAGCTGTTATTAAAATTACAAATTCCAGATTTACCCACCTCAGATGAAGTGCTCCACTCTGTTAGTGGGGTGGCGGGGAGATTTAGAAATCTCCCCTGAACTATTCAAGTCTATGTAAAGTGTTTTATTTTAACATGAAAACCAGTGGCAACCCTATATGAAAAGAACTGCATGCAAAACATTACTACTGGCTCGCCTTTTAAGGCACTATTTAGATTTATTATTTGTGAGGTTCAAAGGTTAGAACTAAGAGAATGCGGGCCACTTTGAAGGAGGAGCTAGCTCGGCCTGGGTCACGTGACAGCTGCCGACTGGAAAACGTTAACAGGGCAAGCGGGGAGGGCAGGCATCTGCCCACTCTTCTTTCTTTACTGCAACATTTGATTTTCACTAAAAATTTAAAAAGAAAGGCTGAGATCTGTAAAACTCCCCAAAAGACGCCTTAAAATAGATACATTGACCCCCGGCTGACTGAGCACAGCTGACAGGCCCTCCAGGCTTCCTTGCAAAAACAGAAAAAGACAATTTAAAAATGAAACTTTCTATAGTGAATTTTAATGAAGACAGTCGAATCATCAAAGCAGTTAAATCTTTTGTCATTACATTCGCAAAATGAATACTCTCTTTAATATAATGTATGCCATTTTATTTCATGATTTAATCTTCATTTACATCAAAAGTGCATCTTTTCTTAAACTATCTTGTGCAGCCTTTTGAAAGAGTATTTTCAGAACGGACAACTTCTAGAAGGTGAGGCAAACGGTAATAATTAAATATTGCAAATTATAGGTCAGTTAATATTAAAAGCAAGTTATACTTCCTTAAACTCTTAAATGCTGTTATTATTTGGAAAGGTGTAGTGTTAATTTCTTCACAAAGTATATTTTCTATGTCTCCATAAACATCATGTATTCTCCCTTCTGTATACAACTTTTACATTTAATTCAGAATGATGAAAACTTTTTCCTGATTAATGCCAATACTTTATTGACATGAGATAGAAAAGTAATAACCCATAGCTGGATTTAAAGTTGGATTTATGACATAATTTTGATTGTACACATTAGCAGCAATTAGCTGCACCACTCATTCTGAGCCACTAGATGGTGTAAAAAATAAATTAAACCGGTAAAATTTCATTCCATCACCACAAGGTCTAAATATAACTCTGAGAAAGATTAAACAAATCCCTAGGCATGTAACAATCTAGGGATTTCTATAATAATTGTACTTTTTAAAAAAGATCTATCCATCTATAAGATCTGCTCTACTTTGATCTAAAAACAAGCCCTTTTGAGCAATTTTTCACTCTCTTCTACAAAGGGCCTTGAGTTCTACATTTACAGTAAAGTCAAGTATTCAAACTGCTGTCTTCATTCATATGTTAAGTGAATTTATGATATTAACTTACAGTCTATGTTTGCCAAATTTTTGATAAAAACTGAAAGGCCAAGGCCAAGCCAAGTAAAAATGTAGTTTCCAAGGTGAACTTGCCCAGTGCAAAGTGGAGAAGCTAGACTCTTCAGAAACATACACGAACCCCCAAAGCCACCTGACGGCCAACAGCCACAATATCCATCAGCGGCCCCAAATTTGTCCAGATTTCACTGAGGGACAGCTACGTGTCCTTTACTTCACACCCACTAAGATTTACCTGGTGGATTCTACTAGGTCCCCAGCTGGGTTAATACGGACAGCCAATCATTGAGCCAATACTGATAATGTGCTTTTTAGCATTTAGAAATCTCAGATGGCAGTATGTTCTCCCTATAGGCTGGACTACCATTAACCTTGGCTCTATGATCAGGTTTCACATATAAAATCACAATCTGCACACAGCAGTTTTGGGAGTACCAGCATTGCCTTCCCTGGAAGCCTAGAAGCAGAATGCACCTGTATGATCACATGTATAATTTCATATCAACAGAAGACGATTTCAAAGGCAGCGGTAGGAGTGGTACACGCCTATGGGAATGTCGCTTGCTCCACAGCCTCCCCTGGAGGTGGGTCCTCTGGGGCTCCCAGCAACGAAGACGGCCTGATTCGGAAGGGAGACTTTAAGAACAGGTCCGCCTGGGCTGCACGGGTTTCATATTTTACCACAGAAACATAATGGCTACCTGCCATGTATCCCTATAATCTGAAATTCTGAGTGGAAGCTGATCAACATTTTAATTTTATACACAGTTGCAGCTAAATTGGTGAAAGAAACTGTGAGCTAAGTCAGGCTGAGGAATGATGCCAAGGAAGTTTGTCCAGACCTCAAACTAATCAGCTTGGTTCCTATATTAAGGAATTAATTCAAAAAATATAAGTGATTAATTAAAAAAATGATGTAATTGCCTAACTCAGGCAATTACATCTCAACAATAAGCTTGATCCAAGAGTTGTGATATGGTTATCTATAGCTTCTAAGTAGTGAAAATATCTTTCTAAAAAAAAAAAATCCCACACTAATGAACAGAGGATTGAGAAATAAAAGACGGGTCTCAGGTCTGGGCACCTTAACTAGCAATCACCACAGCTGGCTGTATTTCCTTACTTCATATTTCCCCCAATAATCCACAAGTGGTTATGTCTTATTTCTTTTGCATTTCTGGTGCTTAGAATGGGACCTGGCACATCACAGGTACTTTGTGATGATTTCAAACTAAACACAGGTGGAAAAGAGGGGAGAGAAAAGGGAGGGAGGAGAGAGGAGAGAGAGGGATGGGAGAAGGAAGAAAGGTACAAGCACGAGAAAAAAACCAAGCAGAAAGCCCCGGTCTGGACGTCAAGGTGCCTGGGTAGGTACAGGCTCTGCGCTCTCCCGACCAGGGTCCCTCACCTGTACACACAAGGAATAGACAGACGACCCCTCACTCAAGGGCTCTGTGATTCCCTGTTATGATTTTATGCACCAGCCAAATAGTGTTAAAATTCAGTAAGTGACCTTATTTCCAAATTCTCTTCTCTAACAATCATATTCTTCCTGAAAAGCCTAAAATATTTCTCTAATCATGAAACCACAGTAAGTTCCCAGACTTATGATTTATATAACATTGCCACACTTATAAGTAGTTTCCATATATCATTTGTTTCTAAAATAGCCTCATAAAAGAGACTGAAGGAAATACTTTTTTATTACCCGTATTACAGTAGGAAAAGTTAAAATGTTAAGTTTAAGGGAGCTCACACACATCGTCAGAAGGGTAATCACAATTAAGAAACTTTTAGACTAAAGGACGGAAAGATTTTGAATAATCCAGTATCTTAAAGAGGCAGAGACATGGTTTTTTAATATACAAAGATGGGTTTGTAGCGATATACTTTGCTATTATGTTAAACTTAAAAAAGTTGCTTCAACCTGTCTGAATAGAAAAGCATAGCTCTTAAATTGTCGGAACACCCGATGTATTTACATAAAGATGAAAAGCTTGTTCTATAAACACGGTGTTTCCAGTAGTGAATGGCAGACAAAATCAGAATAAGCACACAGAAGAATAAAAAGGAAGAGGAAAGAAAAACATAATAAATAACCTAATACCTTACAATGTTAACTTTCACATAAGTATATTGTTTCTGGAGAAGGCAGTGTGTGGACGTGAGCCAAAGGCTAAAGTGATAGGTAAACACACTGTTAAGTTGAATCCTGTTATCTGATTGTGTTTAAATTTTGATTATATTTCACTTGACAAAATAATTAATTATTGTGAACTCCTGATTGTTAACAAGGACCTAGAAGAATTCCAATTGGCATTTTTCCCCAGTGCTGTAATCCAAACACACACAAATCTAGTTTTGTATTCTCCCTTTACAGTTGTCATTTCGAGTATCTTCTTACCTTGCTAAGAATGTAAATCACATCACCACGTTTAAATGATAACTCATCAGAAACAGCACCTGTGCAGTCCCACAAACCCTGGTAAAAATTGGCGTAGTCAGTGCTTTTATCCCCTAGAAAGAAGAGAAAACATGAGTTAGAGCTCTTATGTAAGAGGCCCTCATTTACAAATGAACCAAGAGAAATTAAGGGGCCACCTCAAACCACCAACATAGTAAAAAAGTCAGTCTTGATTCAAAGAAAATGCTTATGCACAAGAATCCTACTTCTTATTACCATCTAATTGAGGAGCACTTTCAAAAAGGTCTGATTTTGAATGTCTCTTTTTTCTCTTTCTGTCCCTTTGTTGTTCATCTAAAACCTGTAACTGACATTTTCTCATCAAACCAGCACCTTAGAGTTACTTCACACTTACGTTATATAGGAACCTAAGTTCACGTGCAACATGCTTTGAAGACGAGGCCCACACTGCCTAATGAGCAATAGCCAAGAGATGTGACACATTGCAAATAAGCACCTTATAGAACTGGGACACTTCTTAAAAAAATAATAAAGGAGTTAAGGTACAAATCTCACCCAAATCAGAAAACAACTTTTTAAAAAAATTCTAAAACCTCAATCTCGTTCAAGAAAGAGGATAAAGTGGAAATAATGCAAAGGGTAATTCCAGCCCTTATCTTTCGGGACTTTTGTACCCAAAGCCTCTCAAAGTTATTCAAAAAATATTTCAACAACTTAGAAACTGCCAATGCTGAAGCTGCATTTTTCAAGATTTCTGTCAGCCCTGGTTTGGGACATTAGGCTCTGAATAAACATGCAACATGCACTGGAGTTATCAGCTCATCCTTCTAACAGCATAAGCACAATGGATGTGATGTGCTCAAACTGCCATACAGACCATTAACTGATTGATTATTTAGCGCTCCCCGCTCTGTGATGCCACAATAAACCGGGTAATAAATGCTTTGTCACTTACACAATGTGGGGCTCCTGAAACACGGCACAGAGTTAAATACACTGGATGCTTTTGTTACACTGAGAACTGCTTCCTGTTTTTAATTTCATGATAATTGAGTTTTGATGAGTTAACGCAAAAAGAATGCGAGCAGTATCAATAAGATGTCCGTGTGTTCAGGAACCAGGCAGGACACACGCGCGCTGACAACTTCCCCCACTGAATGTCATCTTTGACTGCGGAGGGGATGGCTGTGGGGAGGCACAGGCTGGAGCAGCGCTGTCATCGTACTTTCGTTACGTGGCTCTCAGACAGCAGGCTCCTGGGCCATTCCGGCACAACCAGTCAGATTAGCACGGCATCAGGGCATTCGTCTTACTACACATGGTTTGTGTCACGGACCCAGTGCTATGTTCATTAGAAATGTTAAAAACTCTCTTTAACATTGAAAACATTTTTTTTAAAGCCAAAAAGAAAATCTGAATCATAGGGAGTCTGAATACTTAGGAAGTAAGACGTGGCTTTTTAATTATACTTTTAAGAAAATAAAGAAGGACTAGAATATACTACCTAGCAAAAATCCTCCTATTAAATTTTTTTTCTCTTGTTTTCTAAGAATTAAAACAAAGAGAAGGAGGGAGGGAGGGAGGGAGGGAAATGGGAGGGGGAGGAAAAGAGGGAGGGATGGAGAGAGGGAGACAGAGAGAGGGAATACCTTATTGACTTCTCCACTCTAGCATTTGAGCACTCATCACGGGTACCAGCAGGGATGTGCACAAGCCTGGGAATCCAACCAAGAACTAACAATGCTTGGGGCCACCCTTCATTACATTCCCCCCAACAAAGCACATATTAAGTAAATTCTATAAATGGACACTAGAGGGCACTCTGGCTGGACAGATCACTCCAAACATTGTCAAATTATTTTCTTTTTAGAAAAAATTACTTAATAATAAAGTGACTGATTTCCTTTAAAAACCACTTATTTAGACAAATAGAGATTTAGAAGTTGAAACATCCTCGTCAGATTGAATCAACTGCTAAATGGGTCAAATGTTGCGCCCCATGCAGTCCGTCAGTGTCAGTTTAAAAGTCCGGGAATTAGAGCAAAGAGAGGATGACATCATTTCACATGCACGGCCCTCCCCTGCAGTCACTGGCCAGGAGGTAAAAGGATCTGCATAGTTGAGGCTCCTGTGTGTTCCTCAGGCTGCTCAGCCTTAGGCTGCGTCTGAAAAGGCTGAAGAACACAACTTGGGCTAAAAAGCAGAGTAGAAGTTGTGGCTTGGCTAGGGCGGCTGTCCCAGTGGCCTCCTCAGCTGTCCAGCCTGCTGCCGGCCGTTCCCTTTTTCAGATCCTCTCACAACAGCTTCTCATTCAATAGATTTTCAAGAGGTTCAGGGAAGGAAGGAAGGAAAAGAAAAGTATATGATGATTTCTAATGCATAATCATCCTTATCACTTTGGGGTCTCTCTTCCCCTTGATGCGCTTGGTGAAATTCCCATTAACACTAATGGGAGTTACAGGAGCACATGAGGGGCACAGGACCCCCACTGTGTGCCAAATGCATCTCTCCCTAGATGTGCATCATGAGCGTTTCATTAAATCTCACTGCCTTGCGAGGTAGCCGAGCTAGCGACGCGGCAGTACTGGGGAGAGGACGCATTTTCTGCTGCGCTTTCTGTAATCTTGATGATGGTGTTACCCAAAGACCCACCTCATTTCAGTGTCCCATATGTGAGCTCTGGTAAAGAACAATAAGTCGTCTGTGTCACGTGGCTACATGCACACACAATTTACTGTTCTCTCTATTTCCGCATGCCATTCAGCATGAAGTAGAATCCCAGCTAGGGAGAAAACGTGGAAGGACCTGTTTCTTGGCCTTAGTCTTCTCAGAAAAGTAATGTGATGATTCTTGGGATAAATTCTAGACATAAAAGTTAGGAATTATCTGGTTCCTTAGAGAGCCGTGAGCTCCTCTGTCTTACTTTTTAAAATTTTAAGTGTGACTGAACATACACCAAAAAATGATGCACAGATGTAGCCTCGGAAACACAGTGGCTTCCCAAAAGTTAACACTGCTCACCTCTGCACCGAAAAAATAATCCACGTGAAGTACATTTCTAAAAAATACCGAGACCTGGGATGAAGCATAACGTCATAGACCACAGATAAGCACACATTCTGAGTACAAATGAAGCCTGTTGTCTTTACAGCACAGACTTTCTTATGTTCTTATTCTATCCCCATCATGATCTATGTTTTCAAAATGACAAAAAAAAAAACAATGTTTCTTGTCCTGAGAGGCATGAACGATTAAAAAAAGAAAGAAAATAATTTAAATTAGTCAGCCTGCGACAGATTTAAACAACAGACTTGCTTCTGCTTTTTAAAAAATACAAAACAAGATCACTGGGCAATAATAAAATTATTAGGAAAATATAAACTAAACATTGGAGATACTTTTGCAAAAATGCAAAGGTCTTGAAAACGATGACAGTGGGTGAAATATACAACAATAAAATAATGGAGAATCTCTCCTTCAGTAGTGTTACAGGTTTAAAAACTATTTTAGAAAGATAAGCATATTGAACAATGTTCAAAAAAATCAAATGGAATCTTTATTATAAATATAACAAACACATTCAACATATATAAGCTTGAACATGAAAGAACTTGTAAGAAATCCAAGATTAATTTTGTTTTTGCTTACGTATTTTACATTAATCTGATTTTTTTAAGTAAAATCAGTCAACGTGAAGAATATGTAACATTCTTGAGTAAGGTTAGAAGTTCACATCATGTGATGCTCAGCAAGATAGTAATACCCTTGTCAACTCTCCGCCCCGCACAGCAAACAAACTTCTAGTGTTACATCTTTGACAGCCGGGGGAGAGCAAAGGTCACTGCTATGCAAAAGCCTTAAAACTGTTGCTTGAAAAGAATTTCATGTCACGAAAGATAAGAATTATTGCAGTGCTAATTTATAGCTATTGCATGAAAAGCTAGATCTATTTAATGCATTCCTCTGAGAAAAACCTGATTTTTTTTCCCCTTCCCTCAAAGGCGAAAATTTGGGAGACAGTCACTATAAAAGGGTTTTTGGAAAATACAATTGCTTTAAGACAAAATACTTAAATTTGTGGAAAGCATATCTGTATGTGTCTACGTTCTATACCTGCATGGGAATTTTTAAAAAGAAAGCTATATGCTTTTGGCAGGAGCTTATGACACATAATAAAACATATATACTTAAATTACTAGTGAACATCACCCTCAAGGTTTCACTCCGCTGCAGGGTTTTATAGCTGCATTTTACAGGGCCTGAGTGCTAACATCTAATGACTCCATCCTCGCTTCCTTTCTGAAAAAAGCAAAGCAAAACCTTTTGCAGCAACCTGCTCCTGCTTTCCTGTCCAGGTCCGGAAACCAGGCCTCTGTTTCCTTTCCACATGTCACAGTAGGAAGGACTCTGGAAAGCCACTTCCTGAACACACACTTCTTGTCCACCCTGCCTCTGACAGCTCGAAAGAGTGATGTATGGACGTATCGGAGAGGGGAAGGTGACCCCAGCTCCAGCTCTTTGCAGGACGTGGGATGATACGGCAGACCCTGCCCCAGCGGCCTTGAGGCTACGGCGAGGGGCAAGGTCCTGATAAGAAGGCAGTCCTCCTCGTCTTTCCGTGTAAAATAATTGTGGGTTTATCAAAACTCACCTCGTGCCTACACTACAGATATGGTTTATCTCCTGTTACTTGGAAATAACAATCAGCAAGAAAAGTTGAGCATATCGTGTGATTCTGTCCACAGCATGGGCGGTTATTTTTTCAGTCTCAGTCATAATTAGTACGTGGGGCAACATGCCAAGTGGAAATGGATAGGGGACGATCCTTCCTGGACTTGTAGGCCACCAGCGTCCTTTTCCAATTTTTAAGCTGCTGTCACTGGACCCTGGCATTTCTTACCCAATTCATTTGCTTTCTGTGTTAATCATATGCAATGAAGATATGCATGGCCAACATTTAAACAGGCTGCAGATCAATTAGCGGTCTTAAGTTTATCTGATTTTTATCAAAGAAGACAGAGCTGTGGGTCGATTGTCAGAGCCTGTGTCAAGTTGACCTTTTCAGAGATGTCTACATTGCCAGTCCCCTGGGCAACTTGTTGTCCCCTGTTAGTCTCTGAATGGCAGAAGTCTGTTCTGCTCAAGCACAAAGTATACACAGATGTCTATATTACATTCTTATAGGTTTGACAGCAACTGCATGTTGTATCTATAAACTGTCCTTTAGCAGTGACACTTCCTCAATGATGATAAGCTAATTTATGCAACTAAATCTCCTTTGTGCAGAAATGAAAGCTAATTGAGTCATTACAAAGTAATTCAGGAAGGAATACCTTGTATAAATTGGCTTACTTTATAAATCCTTCTCAAGTGGTTTTCATGCATCCTAAATGGGGCTAAGCAGTTTATCAGCCGGAAGATGCCCGCACTGGAGAAGCCGGCTTTGGGGAGCTGTGTCCACGTCTGCGGGGCGGTGAGAACGTGAACACAACCGAAATCAGCTCTCCCGGGGAGCTGCGCCATTCATTACCTGTGGCGTGGTGAGCACTGTCCTGACTCATCTTCCTTTGTTCCTCCACTTTCCCGGGCGCGCTGTCCTCTTCCTCCTCTGCAAGTAAACAACACACAGGGCACACTGAAGGGCTTCCTCTGAGATAACAACACAGTACTCCCGTGTTCAGAGCAAAACGAGAAGTTGATAACATATAGAGATTCCTTTTCGAAGGAGGAAACCACTCAACATTCACATTCCTTTGTCAATAGTCTAAAGCTGAACAAATAAACCTCTAGCCATTTCCAAGTAGCAACCTTTACCAGCTGGCTCACTCAAATGTAAGATACGTACTAGTGCTTCGCACATGTTGCTTTACATCCTTGTAGAGACTGATCTGGGACCATCTCAGACCCAGAAAAGCCTTGATGTCCAGTAAAACAACGGCCAGCACTACCCAGATGGACCGCATTACACTGTGGCAGCAGTACCTCGCACAAAACCACGGTCCCTAAAACGTCAATGTTCTAGCAAAAAGAAAGCGTGTGATATAAAATCCAGTCTCTTATTGAGTATCAGAGACTTTGTAGGCTGACTCACTTGATCTTCACAGGAGAACGCTAGAAGGACCCGTACCCTTCAAGAAAACCGCCCCACCCCACACTTATACTGAGAACCTACTATGTGTCATACACTATAGCAGATGTATAGATTTCATAGATAAACAATGTTTAAATCCTCATTTAACAGGCGAGTATACTGAGAATTGAAAATATAAAGCAGGTTCCAATTTTTATTCGAACTCAGGTTCGTGATTATCAAGCCCATGTTCCCTGGCCCACATACATTAAGTACCTCACCTATATAATTTCCACACTCTCCCATCACATTCCTTCTCCGAGTTATAGGAAGAAACGTGGTAAGATCAAGAACAGTTTTTTGTGTGCTTTTTTTAAGATTTTATCCATTTTATTTTTAGAGAGGGAAGGGAGGGAGAAAGAGAGAGAGAGAGATACATCAATGTGCAGTTGCTGGGGGTCATGGCCTGCAACCCAGGCATGTGCCCTGACTGGGAATCGAACCTGCGATACTTTGGTTCGCAGCCTGCGCTCAATCCACTGAGCTACGCCAGCCAGGGCCAAGGAGAACAGTTTTTAACAGAGTCAATAGACTGATTCTTTTACAACAAAGAAACACGTGTTACATTACCACTTGCCCCACCTGGGGATATGTAAAATGGAGTAATACTTAAGGCAGGGCATATGAATGAAATGGGATGCCAAAGAAACACTGGGGTCAAAAAGAATCACAATTTCCAGAAAAATCCAGAACTTTGAAGACAATTATGCTAAATATATTAAGTATGGCTGTTATGATGATTAAATAATTCAACCAATAAATCCTCATTGAGTATGAACTGCATGTAAAAGAGAGACTCTGCCAAGGAGGCCAGGGCAGTAGGGCGCTTCTGCCTTCAGGAAGCTGACAACCTGGAGGGACAGAAGACAGAATGTAAAGGAAACTGGGACGGGGCCTAACGCCTGACGTGTGCGGTCCAGGCACGGAGGAGTGCAGAGAAGGAACCACCCGGCAGGGAACACCACGCAGGCCCCGAGAGACGGAGAGGATCTGAACGAGGGGAGATGGGGAGGAGACGATTTCCAGACAGAGGGAGCGGCACAGACGAAAGAACAAGGCGCCACCACATTCCCTGTAGTTGGAGAACGTGGTACTCAGAGGGAGAGAGCAGGCTGGGAGGGAACGCTGGTGGTTTGGGCCAGTCGTTGAAGGGCACTGCGCATCCTGCCGTGGACGTCAGACTTCTGCTCGGTGGGCAATGCAAGGCCCAGGAGATCTGTGAGCAGAGAAAGGGCAGGGCTGAAATTATGCCCCAGGAAGACTCAGCTGCTCCCAGAGGAGGGACCCAGGGAGAGAGACACTCAGAGTCTGGCCGAAGGGGAAGGAAGCCCTGAGCCGAAGGGGCAGAGGAAATGGGAAGGAGATGGTCAGGTCAGGAGAGGTAAAGGAACTGGAGCTGATAAACTCTGTGCCTGACTGGATGGGGAGGGCTGAGGAGTGGGGAGGGCAACCAAGGATGACTGAGGGTTTGAGCTTATTAGTTAACTGAGCGATGGGAACATCGTTACTGAAAAAGAGAATAGCAGAGATAAGCCACTTTGCTGCGGAAACATAAGGAGTCGTGTTTCTGACACGAGAGGTTGAACGCACTGGTGGGGCAACCCAGAGGAGATGTCCAGGGCAGCTGGAAAAGCTGGTGGAGAGGCCAGGACTGCGTATGCACATGTAGAAGGCTCGTGCGAATTTTAAAGTGGTGATTAATAAAAATCAACATTTAAATCAAGCTTGGGGGTTATTATGCTTGTAAGACAAATACAACTGTCTCAGATTTTTAAAATTCAATTCAAACGAAATAAGGAAAAGCTCCAATATAAGGAAGAGCTGGAAATACTTGATAATTTATATATATTGAGTTGAACCTAACACTGTCAATTTAATATGGTTTAGTCAAAGAGTAATTAATACATAAAAGACCTCATTAAAAAGTCTGATACTAAATCCTGTCTCTTTTCTATTCAACAACAGTTAGCTCACTATGCCAAACCTCAAGGTCGAGCTACCATACACGCCTAACAGGGTGTTTTCATCAAAATTAGGGATATTTGCAGTCATTTTGTCCAACCTACTCGTTTTACAGATAGTTAACATTTTAAAAGGTGAGAGGGGAAGCTCTCTCTCACTTTGCACCCTTGCGTTCTCCCCAGCACTCCCTCTCTTACAATTTGGTCACAAGTACAATAGTAAAAAGTAAATTAAAAAACAGTTAAGGGCACTTGTCCTTAAGGCAATATAGGGAGCAGTATTCTTGGCTCTTAAGAAGAGACTGTGGAATTTAGACTCACCACCCAAAGTCATTGTCAAGATATCAAACTAATGTAATAGTTAAATAAAAAAAAACTTGGCTCTTGGCAAAGTTAACAAGTTAGAATTTATTACTATGAGGTTATTCTTATTTTATTAAAAATTAAGTGCCTTAATGTGCAAAGTGTATTCTTAAATTACCAGAATATTAAACATATTTACTTAAGTATCAATATTTACTGTAAGTATCCAAATTGAAAGCCACGTGAGAGGCTTAATAAGCAGGATGTTAGAGGATGAGATGCTCGTTAAAATCACTTTGTTTCTCCACTTCAAACCTGGTACTGGTATTTTCAGGTCAAAGCCTTCTGTGTTCCACACATCAATTTTGTCTTAACAATGTTCAAACAACTCATTTTATCTTGTGCTGACAATACAAATAGCTTCCATAAAAAAGACAACAAAGTCAAATCTGGTGTGTGTGTGTGTGTGTGTGTGTGTGTGTTCATCTTAGGGGGGAAAAACTCAGACTGAATCTCGAATAAAATACGGTATAAGGGAGATGTTCAATAAAGACTGAATGAAGAAATTGATTCAAAAATCATGAAAATAAATTCTATTACACTCATTTATAAACAGAGTGAACCTCTCTACACCACTCAAAAATATATGTTAGGACAAGTGACTAAGATTCTAGGTAATAATCACCTTCACAATATATTAGAAATAGAAACATGTGGTGTTCTACTTAGGTTTATTGTTAAACATTTTATTTTGGTGTTGAGGCGTGATGTCATTATACAATACTAATTAATACCTTAAATAGTCAATGTTTGTGGGTTAATATATTCCATTCAACATTTTAATAACAGTAAACAAAAACAGTTCAACTATGCAGTAAAAATCCATCAAACCACACAGATGGTTATAAGGTTTTCATTATGTGGTTTCCATAGCAATCATACTGCAAATCTGGAAGCTTCTTGCAAATAAGCAGCTTGTATTTACATGCCTCTCAGCTGCAGCACAAACTCCTCAACACGTGAAGTTATTATTCCAATCACACATTGTTACAGGGATCATCAGGAGGGTGTTTTTTTTTTTATCAGACAAGATGAAAATAATAGTAAAGTGAAAATGCAGAATATATTTCAAATATAGTTACACATTTAGTAAACCAATCAATGAGTATCGAAATGTTCCGGTAGTCGCTGCAAGGTTTTAACATTAAAGCCTGTGGAAAATACGAAACTTCCAGGAGCAAGCATATCTGATAGAATCTAAAAGCTTAAACTCTACTCTCACTCATCTTTTTAGTGCATACTGAGCCCTGTATTAGGATGACGACCATTTGAGGAAGAGCTTACTGAGGACAAACTCAAACCCCTTTTTTCCCCTGCTAGATTAATCAATTTAATTTACATATTGATCCAGTTCATAACAGATAGATTATTACCCTCATAAGAATCACAAATCTGTCTAACTATGTACGTTTCACAAAATGGCTATTTCTGGCTAATTTTTTCTAAGAATAAACAACAACACAACAACAGAAACTAAGCAAATGACACATGTAACTGACACTGCCTGACACAGACTCAGGACAATCTGTTAGGACCAAACCAGGAGACGTGATGTTCACATCAGGGCTGAGGCTTGATTTTTTAAAAAAAATTGTATTGGACTTATTGGGGTGACATTGGTTAATAGAGTTATATGGGTTTCAGGTGTACAGTTCTGTAACACATCATCTGTGTATTGTACTGTGTGTTCACCACCCAAGTCAGGTCTCCTTCCATCACCATTTCTCCCCCTTTTCCCTCTCCCCCCCACCCCCTCTCCCTCCGGTTATTGCCACACTGTAGTCCGTGTCTATGTGTTTTTCTTTCTTTCTTTTTTTTTGCTTAATCTCTTCCCTTTTTTCACTCAGCCCCCAACCTCCCTGTGCTCTGACAGCTGCCGTTCTGTTCTCTGCATCTATGAGTCTGTTTCTATTTTATCATGTCGCTAGGGAGAGGAGGACAGCAACATAAGAAAATCTTTGACTCACGCAATTATTACCTTTCTCACTAAATACCTTTAGAAAAGAGATCTGTTGAACTGCAGTGCATTTTAAACGACATAAAACACAGAATCAAAAGTTGTGCTCTGAACTAAAGCTTGGGTTTAGATCTCAACCTGCCCAGGTTTCATTGCTCATGTGGCCATATGCTTGTCTCAAGAAGTTACTATGTATT